AAAATATCATACTGCAAGGAATAATAACTTTTGATTAATGTCTGAGACTTTATCTACATACCCGTATTAAACAATAAAATTTTTTCGGTCAATCAATATTTCTATCTATAATGATTCCGTTGTTTCGTTCACCAAAGAACACACACATTAAGTCTCATGTTGCATGCGGGACCATCGCACCTGCATACGATAATATTTGCGGGGAAGATACGAACATCGCGCGCAGCGATCGTTGGTTTTTCTCATGAGTCATCGTGAAACCCCCCATCATATTTTCGAACAACGAGCCGACGGTGTAAGCGTACACGCGTGTAAGCACACTTTTCTCTCTTTCTCTTTGTAGCTCCCCTCGCCCACCTCATTTTACCCGCGTCCGCCGTACGTCCACGTAACGCACGCGGCGGCGAGCGTACCGTGCTTACGTATACGCAACAATAAACGTAACACGACGTGGATGGAACGCCACCCTCGCGCCACGCCGACGCAACCTGCGTGGAACTCGAACATTACCGAGCAATGCGCGATAGGCTATGTGCGCCAAGTATTGCGTACCCGCGTGTGCACGTACGCGTTCAGTATATCGTGTATATCGTTTCGCGCATATACCGGACGCACACTATACACACACACATACACACATATTGCACCCGCGCGCGATGCGCTCCAGACACCGCCGCATGCTCCTCCGTAACATTCTCTCGCGATGCACGTGTTGCAGTCGCGTCGCTCAGGCGCTTTCTCCGTCGCGCTTACCACAGTCTCCCTTTGCCGGAGTCTCGTACGTGCGTACATAAGCAAACCTGTTGTTACTGCTCCTCCCCTGCGTTATCTCTCTCACGCATCGGGCGCCGATTTTTATAGGCGAGGTGATTCACGAGGCAAGTTCATCAAGTCTCCTTCCCCGCCTTTCCGCGGACGCATCACGCGCTTTCACGGGGATTAGAGGGACGCGGGTGTTTCTCCTCTTACTTCTATCTGTACTTCCTACATCTATCAGTGGCGTAAGCGAAGGGTGTTCGCACGATTTCGAGCCTCTCTCACCGCGACGATCGTAAATCGCGTCGCGCGAAATCAAGCGGGAAAGCTGCTTCGGCTCCGCTACAAGAAGGACATACTTTAGGTACATTACACTCCATTCATGCGCACACTGGACGTTATAACTGTGTATTTGAGTTCAACTCAGAAGATCCAACAGCTTTACATTTACTCTGATACTTTTCCTCGATAGAGAAAAGAATTGGTCTGAAATTTATATACGAAAAGGCTGAAGTACTTAAAAATTTAGCTAGATATAAATCTTTAAAAATAATTTTGTTGGCTAGTTAAAATAATTATGTTTAAGCTGGAACATCAAAACTTTTTGCAGCATTGTTCATCATGCCTGAGTTTTCTGCATAATTATTTTAATGGTTCAACAAAAATTGTTCTTTTCATGTATAAAAAAGAATATCAAAAACAAGCATGAATATATGCGTCCAAAAAATACAAGAAAAGTTCGATATGTTTGATTTAATTTTTACTTGAATATTGTTATAAAATTATTATTGTTAAATTCAATCAGATATAAAAATTTGAAAGACAATTCTTTTAGATTAGACGGTTTCCATTGTTTCCAAAATTCAATACAATTTTTAAATGCCATCATGAAATGCATTGTTATTAAAAAAATGTTGGAAAAAATTTAAGCAAGTAAAGTACAGTGGCTTAAAGAAATTAACAGTAGCTACTTTCGCTCTTACGCCATAAAACCGAAATTTATGAGTCGTATCTTCTTAAAACATGTTCCCATAATATTTGCGGACAAGCATAGTCTCTGATTACACTGTCGCTTGATGTATATCCTTTATTTAGTTCTCTATCAGCAACTTCATGCGCTATATCAGCATATAGCGTTTCCGCATGCGTATGTGCGTGCTCAATGATTTGAACACACTAGAACTTTGTAGCGCGAATGTACTTCGAAGCAAAAAGAGGAGCTAGAGAGAAAGAGAAAAGCTGCATCGTTATCTTTACGCCTAAATCGAACACGGATGAAATTCCGAGAGTCATACAAATGGATAACACCACAGGAACGTCCGCAGCTTCCTGCACTGTCGTTGTTGGCGTTCCGATCAGCGAGGACGATCAGCTGTTACGCGATCCACCCACCCACACATCCGCGCGCGCGACAAGATTCTGTCTCTAACATGATCCAACCGCAACCACGCAAATGGGCGTGTAAGAGGTAATCAGGACAGTTCTTCTTTTGAAGGTAGTGCCGACGAACGTTGCGCTTCTTACGATCTTGATACGCTATTCCAACTGTGACGGTATTACTGATGATATCATTTGTCCTTGTTGTCACCGGAGCACAAAATGTAATTTTACAAGCGACTTGCAGGAAGAAAAGGCTAATGCGTGAAGACGTTAAGAGAATAAACTAGCAAATTAAGGCAAAAATGACCGCGTATATACAGTCTTGTTTCTTCTTTGCATCTTTCTATTTTATTTCCAAAAAGGTGTCATTTTATTAAATTATGATTTTATATTAAGTTATAACAAATGCAAATTGTTATATTTAACATGTATATAATCTTTAAAAATATTTAATTAATCTAATTTTTTTAAAAAGAATTTGTAAAACACTTGTAGAATATATTATTTTAATGCTTTATGAGTGTAAATTGCGTTTGATTAAGCGGTGCGACTGTGTGCACAATATCGGGATGCGTAATGTGATAAACATCTGAAGACATACCTTTTATGGTTACCGTAAAAATAAGATGTAACACCTTTCAGTTGTAACTGTGCGAAAACATGGACAGTACTGTTTCGTAATGTTTATGACGACACGAAGCAGTTGGTGCGAATCGAAAAATATAAGTTCCTCTACTCTTGGTTTTAATGAGATAATTTATATGCGCAAAGCTGCATGGTGTCGGGGTAGAATTTGAAACTTAAATATTATCATAAAAGTATCGAGTCCTGCAGCGATGGAAATAAAATTATAGAGACCAAGAAACGCGACCTACTTCTCGTATAACATACTCATAAAATAGATCTATATTTAACCTTTCGTGCCATTAAAGTTACAACAGAAAGAAGATCACATCTTTAAAATAAGAAAATATCGAATACTATAAATGTTAGTGACAACTTTTTTAGAAAATTCAATTTCATCTTTTCTTAACAAATGTGCTAAATGTCAACAGTAATCAATCTATTAAATTTTTCACATAAATTGATTACAAGAAATATATAAGTATTTTAAATTTATAAAGTCATATCAAAGGTATTATGATTAAAGCACAACAAACTGTGGAAAATGTTGAAAGATAATAAATAGTTTCTTCTCTCCTTTTACAATGTTTCTATATTTCGTCCTGCGGCCTTGCACGCGAACTAGCTATAAATGAGAGAATCATAATGAAATTAATGTATTATCCTTGCCCGTCCCTAAACCGGCTCGATCCCGATCAAGATCACTAGTCGAATTTATGAAGCACCCCACCCATCTTAATTCCTGCAGCAGCGGAACAACAGAAGCAACGGCAGCAACGGAGGGCCCATGGTCACCGCGTAATTCACGCGAGAGAAAACGTGCGCGCGAGCGATTCGATCGCATTCGGCGGGCATTAAAGGCGAAAGGCGAACGAGAAATAAAAAGTCTCGGAGTCGAGAGAGCGCACGAGTGAAAAGAATAAGGGCGCCGTGTGAGCCCTCCGGTAGCGTATAAACGTAGCGGGCATAGAAGGGTCCGTGGCTGGGCGTTCTTTGAGATGGTTGATCGCTCTGCGGCGCGGAATCAATATTGTTGGATTGCTTCGATAACGCCTCGTAAATATAATAAAGCCCTCCAACCCCTCCCTATACCCTTGCCCCACGTAGTGTCTCGCGCAAGGCAGAAACTGCTCAAGAAGAGATAATGGTCGGAGCCCTGGGCACCCAATGGGCCGGTTGGAGGGGACACGTTGGGCTAGGGCCCCGCAACCCTCCATCGCCCTCGTCTCGCTCTACCTCGTCGTTCTCGCTCTTTCTCTCTTTCTCCTTCTCTCCCTGGCTGTTTTACTCCCTCTCCGTCTGCCTCACGATCCCTCACCACGACGCGTCGCGGACAGACCTGCCGGGCACCAGAAGAGTCGACTCAGTGAGTTTCAGCCCGAGCCGGCGAACGCTTGGCTTTCTCTCTCACGGTGCACTCTCGCCCGTATCGTCCGTTCCCCGAGAACGTCCGTGGCGATCCCCGAACACTTCTTCACGGCTGTGTGTGGTCCCGGTCCTTTTTTCTTACCCGGTGGGTTCTGTGCGGCCCGATAACAGGGACGAGTCATCTACGATTGTCGTTCGGGCGACAGCTTTTAGAGTGACTTATTCACGAAGCTAAGTGAACTGACTCCAATTTCGTGGTTCGCAGGCGTTTTGTAGTCGCGGTGTCGGATGGCTTGCGGGTGATTAAGGTCGATGTAAGATTTTGAAAACGCGACCCTAATTTCAACAACGAGTGCACTTGTGATCTTGACCGGACTGTCTCCGCCTGCGGATCCATCCGAAAGCGCGTGTGGAGACTTCGACGACCGATACGGAGGATGTCACGCTCCGTGGACCACCCCGGCTGCCGCGGCCGTCGCCGTGTCGCGGTGGCGACGACCCTGCCGGCGATCTTGCGGTGAACATCTCGCGTGTGCGTGTACCCTTGTGCTGTATACCGACGTAGAGCGATATAGAAAAGCGACGTGGTGTGACTCTCGGTGAGTGTCATTGGAGAGTCAATGAGGCTCCAGAGACGTGGAACGATCGCAGTGAGGCGCAGCCGACGTGGCCTTCGCAGCGAGATTGACCGGTTTTTTCGAGTGATATTTGCGGAAGGAAGAAATCTTGATGTTGTTATTGAATCGACCAGCGTGTGATTTAACCGAGGAAGAATATCGCGTGAATATTGCGCGCACATAGCGTGTTTCCTACGAGTGACAGTACGCGTTTGATGTGCGTTGCCTCCTTATCTACGTTTTCGCACGACGCCCATGGAAATTTGTGCTAATCACGGATTAATGCATGTCGGAAATTGCAGCATGGAGGATATAAGTGTGAGTATTACGTACGTTATTTCTGTTTTACGTCGTAAAAGCGGAAATGGGATTTCTAAGCTTTTCCCGCCACTCCCATCCGTCGCGATAATTAATTGCACAATTCCGTTCGATATGATTCACGATGCTTCGCGATACCGTAAGCGTGAGGGTGGCATCTTGGAATCCTATCAAACTTCAGATATATCGCGAAAATACTGACCACGCATCTCGCTCATTCTTTGTATTCTTACACTGTAAAAAATAAAATGTTAATTTTAACTAAAAGACGTATAGTGAACTTTCTGAGACATACAAAAATGTCAAAATTAACACAAAAATGTCTCAGAAAGTCCACTATACGTCTTTAAGTTAAAATTAACATTTTATTTTTTACAGTGTATAATACAGTGTACAAATATATAATTGCATATTCAAATATATTGGAATTATTATTCGTTTAGATAATGCGAACATTTTGTTACCTATTATTATTTCATTTTCGGATCACCAGTGTTTATGAAGAATTCTTTCATTTTTATTCATATAGTCATGAGATTTTAATAAACGTTAATTAAGTCTCATTTAACTTTAACTAATTCACTTACCGAGATAAAAATGAGAACGGAGATAAGAACGATGGACGAATAGAAAAGGAATTACATGCGATATGCATTTTAAATTCATGTCGAGCTATCGCTTGTCTTTTCCACGCCAAAGGCGCCGTTGTAAAAATCGCAAAACAACGAATTGAAGTATGAGAAACGAGTTCGTCTACTTCGCCAAAAGTATCCCGAGATGGATCACCGTCGACGCGCCTGACAGCCGGTGTATTAAGGCAGCGACAGACAAATTTCCGCCGGTGCGGTGCGCAAAAAACGGCCTTCTCGCGGAGACGAGGATGGATTTGGTCGCTCGTTGCACCCCGGTCGATTAGTCTCGGGAGACACGGTAGCCGGTGCTGAATCCCCATCGTCCGGAGGCCGCGTGTACCCACGCGTGTCCCGCGTGCACGCGAAGACGACGCGCCGAACGCGCGCATTCCCTCGCGCGTTGGACGGCGAGCTTATTAGTTCGCATTGGCCGACTCTCACGCGTCTACCGTACTGGACAATGCGCCCGGGGATTGCACATTGTTGTTTATATTTACGCGTCGCGGCATAAATCTTCGTTTAAGTCGCATTCAGCCGGCGTACGCTGAGAGCATGGCCGCGCACACATTCGCACACACCGGCTGCGAACGCGAACGCGCGTACGGTTCGTCACGGATAACGCGCGGTCTTCATTAAACTTAACTTCTTTGCGTGCCGACCGGCCATTAAGAACGCAGGACCGGCCTACGACTAATTTGTACTGTAAATGAGATCTCGAGGATCGTTACTCGCGTGAAACAACGTCATTCTAACGGTCGCAGCCCGCTGCTACGTGATTATCGCTTTTAGTTGATGAACGAGTGAATTGCTAAACACTTTGACGTTTATTTCTATCATCTTTTCTTTTTGCAACTTGTTTTCGTAGTGTATGAGCAAGTGCGACATAACTAATTTATTAACTTTTGTAAAATTTATCAGCCTACACGAGATAAAGTTTTAAGATTGCTTTGGAACTTGAAAATGACGTAGAATCTACTATAATATGTTTATAGAAAAATTGACAATATATTGCACACGGGAAGTAAATTTTTTAACCAAAAACTAACGTAGATCTTTAATTATTTTCCGCCAAATATTTTTACGTGTTTCTTTTTTTAAATAAATAGTAATATTTTAATAGACTGAATAATTTGGTAATAATTAGAAACAACGGTGCATAATAATTATTAATTTAATTTCTCAATCTATACATGTCACCGATCATATTCATTAGCGTTGCACAAAGTTCATTAATAATTTACTGTATAGAATAATATAAGCAAGTCCTAGCGAGATAAACAGTTGAATTGTTTAATATTAACAAACATTGATATTTTGAACATAATATAGCGTGCTTTATCCGGCTTAGTATTCAACGTATTAATGAAACACACTTTCGACCGAGACAATGGCCCTCTCTATCACCGTATCTCTGTATAGCGAATAATGCTTCCGAGATTAAGACATTATTTGCGAGATACACTTACATCGCGTGGCATTCTGTGTATAGTAATGACGGCGTACCGCTTTCGGGATTGTCTATGCGTGCGCGAAAGAGAGAGACGGACTGTGATGACTACCTTCGGTTCGCGTTCCCTCTGAAGCAATTTTCACCGACTAACTGACCTACCTGCTTATACGTGCCGCGATCAAGACCGCCCATCCTCGGAACATTTATATCGCTGTAGCGGCCGAGAAGTACGGGCGTACGTAATATTTTGCCTAGGCACGAGCATCGCTCGGGATATACAGCTATCGGTAAATTATGGCCATTAAATTATGAATATAGCGGCGTGCGCGTTTTACGAGAATTATTTTGCCATGTAAAGGGGAATTTATTCCCCGTGCGAACATTAATTCTTCGTGCGGGTAATGGCACGGTGAAGTGCCGAGATGCGAACCTTGCGAATCGATCGTGGATCGAAATCACGCCGTAACGTCAACGGGTACACGTAACTCCGACATTTTTCAATGCGATTGACAGACGCGATTTCAATGCACGTAATTATTTACGCCGTTAAATCGGCTCGATCTGAACGCAGCTATTATTATCAATTAAAGAATACGCGTTTCAAGAGACGGAGACACAATCGTAATCGCCTCGTTAAAAATTTACGATTACGTAAGTTTATAGCATATTGAATTAAGAATGTGACATAAATGACCAATAATACATGCCTATTATAAACTGCCGTAATGTCAGCAATCCTGGCGTGCCGTAGATAACAACGACACGGACATAATTGTATGATTCTTTAATAAAATAGCGATAGAAAAATTCGATGCTGTAGCTTTTTCTCCAAAGTAACATAAATTGCAAATACATTAATGAAATTCTACCGGTAATATTCGTAACTCCAAAAGAGGATGCGGATATTAAAATATCGTTAAGTGGCAGATGCGTTCTTAGAGATTCGCATATTTGACCAGATCTATCAACGCTATGCTTTAAACAGTTAGACGATTCTGCCACAACCGGTTACTTGACTCTGTACACCACGTAATCTTCTCGTTTTTCCCGAAGAAAATTGTGGCGTATCGTATGGCTTCGATTACCTGCTGCCTATACAAACACCTCAGAGTGTACATACATGAGCCCTTAGGACGATGCTCGAAGATGGATAGTCTATGGAGAATCTGATGCAAATACATAAATTCTCTAAGTGCTATATACGATATTGCGAATTCGATTATGCCTTCCCTCTACCTTTCTGGACCAGTAAATCTTTGTCTCTGAGCTCACAAACAACAGCTTCCACTCTCAATTAAGAGTCACCAATAAAAAAGCTAACAAAATGATACAGGCGTTTGCATAGATAAAAAAATATATTTGTTTCTTTAATATTACATCTTTTTGAAACATCTATAAATCGCGAAAATAAAAATGGACATATTACCGTATATAATTTTGGATTCTAATCCAAGCATCTTGTAGCATTTTGTCATAATGCTGCAGCTTCTTTCTTCTTGTTCTCTTCACCTCCGTGTCTCGCCACATTCGGAATTCAGACAGGGAGAGAGAGGCCCTCTCACGATTATCAAAGGGGAGGAGTCGGTGGCGCGAGGAAACAGCGTCAGCGGTCTTCGCGCCAGATAAATCTACGTCGCGATCTGCGTTCAAGAACGTCGTTACCTGCGTGTGTATACGCGCGCGCACCTGCAAGCTTCGTATGTGCGTGCCCGGTTGTACAGGAGCGGACTATCGTCCATCGCGATGGAGGTTTCCGAGGGTACGTCGGACTTAACGATCAGAAGAGGCGTATGGACCAGCTGTTACTGATATCACCCTAACTCGAGTTTTGTTTTTCACGGCGAAATGAGTCGATGAATTATGGCAATGTTTATAATGTGGGCCTATTCCGCGGGAGAAAGAGACGGTATTTTATCCAGATGAATCTAGTGATCAATATTAACTGACTCTCATTTGAGTGTTACAGTTACACCGAATACAAGTTTTACATTACGTGCACGAAAGAGAAAACAATATTTCATGACTGAATGCATGATATTATAACTGGCCTATCGAAAATCACTAAGTTATTGTTTAAAAATAACTCATAGGTGCATGATATTATCGCATTTCTATATGAAAAGAACGATTTTGCTGAAATATCTAAAATTTTAGCCAGTAACACATCTGAAATTAATTTTGTTAAATCATCAAAATAATTATGTAGGAAACTCAAATATGATGGACGATGCTGCAAAAAATTTTGACATTTTAGCAACCAGCTTGTGCGTCCTCCATTAGGTATTATTTTTAATATCAAACAAAACTATTTTCAGATGTGCAATACTTAGCCAAATTTTTAGATATTTCAGCAAAATCGTTCTTTTCGAGAACGGATAGATGATTATTCTATTAACACATATAGGTTACAGCAGCGAAAGTAGAAATACGAGTGATGTAGAAGTCGCTTTCGTCGGGAGTAGCTTTCATAAATAATGTATTTTCTGACACAGATGCGTAATCGATGCACCTGTGTACGCGCAAAACTCGTTGCGCGGTTTACCTACTCCTGTCATCCGATTCGATTACCGTAAGAACCGGATTTCTGCATGATTGTCGAGAAATATGTATGTATGCCGACAAGGTGACTTTTGCGTCGAGTTGACACACGAGTAAATCAACGACTCGGAAACTCAAGCGCGTACCTACCCTACCGCTTCCCGTAGTCTATCGTTGGACGAGTACACGAATCACCTGCTTATCTAATGCCGTCAAGACTACGTGACTACATGTTCTTGAGCACACGTATCGCATCTCATTACGGTCGTTGAGGCCTTGTAAATTGCAAAACTGTTTCTCGCGTTAGTGGATTTTACAGTTCGAAAAAAATAAAAGTGCTGCTTACTCAGAAGCTTACAAAGCGAACGTGCTTTCTGAAT